ATGACTTGCTTTCCAGTGTGTCAAGCGTGCCAGATTTGAAGAACACAGGATGTAATCGAGTCGGTTGTTGAGTTTCGGACTTGTAAACGCTCGGCCCAGTGGATTTGGACGTCGATACAGATCCACCAGAGACTAACTGTGCATACACGTGGACATCCCGTGCCATCGAGGCAGCTAGGGGCTTGGCAGAGTCCAAGTCCTTGTTCAGGGTACAATTGAAGTCGCCACCCACGGTGTGTAAATAATGTGGGAGGAAGGCACGTGGCAGCGCATCGAAGAATCTTGCTCGCTCGGACCATATGACCGGAGCATACACATTGTGTAGAACCAATGTCAACGGCCCCAGGACGCTTCGGACTTGTTGGTATCGACCATGAAGAAGACGAACGTTGTGAGGGACTACTTCCGCGTTCTTCAAGGGCGAGTGAGGGTGAATAAACGTCGCCAGACCTCCAGTAGCCGGAGTTCTTGGAGTGTCTGGATACAATGGGTCTTCAAAGAAAAACGCACCCTCCTGGTTGGTGATGCGCTGCCAATGGTAGGCCACCTTGTCGTGCTGACTGGGCGTGCAAAATCGTGTTTCTTGAATAAACGTGACGTCGCGCGTGCACGAGAGGTTGGAAAGGATATACCGATAGCTGTTGATGAAGCCATTGGTGTTGACGGAGAGGATTTGTGGGTCCCAATCCACGAGTTGAGCGGGAAAGTGCGGTGCATTGTCTTGAGTCATAGGCGAGTCTTAACAAATAAATCAGGTAGGGTCTTGAAGTGTGGAATTGGTGTGTGAATCGATCTTCCACCCCAATTTACAGGTCATCCTCGAGGACGAGGAGCTGACTGTAGTTGGCTGCATGGATGGATTGTGTCGCGTCGTCACAAATAGACTCGACTTCGAAGTTGTCGGTGATGTGAAAAGTTCCTTCAGTGTCGTGAGGATAGGACCAGGCAACTTGAACGATTCGAGGGTCGAGTGTAGCGTGGCCACCACGTGTAGAATGGTCCAGTCCGTCAACTGGTTGGAAGCCTTGCATCGAGTGGCTGTGTTACTCAGCAATGAATCGAGTGCGCCAGCATTTTCGTAGAGGTCAGGTGCGCGATTCTCCAGGAACAAATCCATCGCTGCCACCGTCAGGATCACGGATGGTTCGTGAGACTCGGGAACGATTTCCGCAAGAATTTGACTTGGGTCTTCGTAGTTTTGGGCGTAAAACCTCAAATACGCCTTGTAGTTATCCTGTTCATCGAGCAAAGTGTGCTTGACCATCTCGCGCTCGATGGCCCGGGTTGCTATCAGCGAATTGAACAGGTTAAAGTCGTCTGTCTGCACAGGAGTACATCGATTGAGGGATGATTTGGAGCTCCTGGAGCGAAATGCTCTTGCATTCGACGATGCTTCTGAGTTTCTTGTCGCGAATTGCCCGTTGTGCACGTTCCTAGTGAGCATGCTTGGATTTGTTGGTGCGCTGCTTCTTGCCTTGTACTTTCGTAGGTCGAGGAAAGTTTGGCATCCATCAGCACGATACGGGGGAGAACAAAGTCGTCCATAGACAGTTCCAAGTCCTCTTCTTTGAGAATGGCATATCGGTTGTTCGTCGAGAGTGGTGCGGATCGAGGCGACAATGATAGGGGCCGTTTCGCTGCAGGACCAAACCGGTTGCCCGTAACCAATTGGAGCTACGTTGCGAAAGGATACACGTGGACTCAAGACAGGAGTCCCCGAGTAAAACGCCGAAATGCGTAGGAGCAACGAAAGGCTTCGAGTGCCAATCTTGGGCCCTCCATTGTAAATGAGGAAATCCTGGTGATATTGTTTTGCAATACCAACTCGAGGCCGATCAATTGAGTTATCTGATGCACGACGTGATGCATGTGCTCCGTTGGCAAGCAGTGTGCCGACGTCATTGCCGCTTATCGTAAGCGTAAGCCCCGTCTTGAGGTGTTGTCAAAGATGTTGAGCGTTGATGGTGTCGAAGTGTCGACGAGCAAAGTCTACCAGATCGTCCAAGCGAGGCGGATAAAAACCACACGCCTCCCACGGGATACTGGCACGAATCCACGCACTTCAGCGCATCGTCCAGCGTATTGGCTACCAAAACGCCGTCCACGCGAAGTGTCGGGACAATTAGCAGTCGATGATGTGGTGCCAATACTATATCCGCGTCCATGAACAATTTAATTCATGTCGGCGTTCAGCCTCAGGACGTCGTGGCTATTTCGGGTCTCAACACGATCGAATGGAACGTCGCGTATCTTGGCAAAATTGTGGTCGGAGCTGCCGCCACTGGTGCGTGATCCGCATATGTCTATCAATTCAATTTGCATTACTTTTTATCGAGCACACAAATCGGTCAACTGCGGCAAGCCGTGTAACTCGCTCGACCATGACTGTAGCAACTGCTCGGTGCTGGAGGAAGCGGGGTAGGTAGAACTGCGCGAGGTGAGGCAAATTGTAGAATGAGATTATGATCGAGTTATGAGCTCCTAAAAACACCACATCCGTCGTGTCATTACGATCCTTGAAGGTGCCACATCTTCGTCGGTCGCTCTTGTACTTGATATATGTATGTGACATACAAAAGTGCAATGATGTCAATTCTTTTTGTAATGCTAGATTCTTGTCGACGCGTGACATCTACGCAATTCGATTCGATTCGCTGATCGCTACATTCTTCCCTGGATGTCGCGCTGTCGCTGAGATTTTTGGTGGTGGAGGTCTTGTAGGAATTGCTTGAAGTGGATTACATGTTTTAAGGTTTTGGCGAGTTCCCATGTTGTTTTGCTTTCAGGTTGTCCATGTCATTTGACTAAGAACTCCAGTTGGCGGTTGAATGTTCTGCTTCAGAAGTTTCTCAACAATGTAAAGTTTGTCCTCGGTAGCATCATCGAGGATGACAGGAGTTGCTTTGGGAATCGATCGTGATGCAAACTTGGGATCATTGTGTTTGTAATGGTTGAGTCGGTCTACGTTGAATACGTCATGCAAACGCGACATGGACTTGGGAAGTTTGAGTCGCATTGTGTTATCGTTGATGACTTCAACAATTCGAAATGGGCCAATAAATTGTGGCACTAGTTTAGGTCGTTCGGCTTCGTTGGGTTGCTGAGCATGCTTGAGCGGTAAATTTCCAGTTGCAAGTAATACTTGATCTTCCAATTTGAATGATACACTTGATCGTTTGCGGTCATAATACTCTTTTTGACTTGCTTGAGCCTTGAGTAAAATGTCTTGAATACTTCATCGTTCTTGTATGATTTGACGTAGTGGGCTTTTGTTGTTTCATCCATATCAACTGTGGTGTACGAAACATGTTGTGTGTGGTTGATAACATGTCGTTGGGGAATCATAGGCCTTTTCTCGTTATCACACTCCTCCCCTAAGTAGGGCGATCCAACGAGTTTCGAGAGTTCACGGGACGGCAATGTTGAAAGGAGTGGGGACTGTTGAAAATTTTCCGTACAGGCGACATGAAACTGGCAACTGATACCACAGGTATGCACAGAAATCGTCGGTGACATCGTGTTTTCGTTACGAGGAGGGCGAGATAGTGCATCAGCGACCACATTAGTCTTTCTGGGACGATGGTGTAAGACAAAATCGAAAGCACTAAAAACGTCCAACCAACGGGTTAACTTGGGCGTAAGCACTGGAGTGTGCATGAACCATTTTCAGGCGGAATTGTCGGTGTAAATGTCGAAGTGAGATCCATGTTGGTAGTGTCGCCATTTGCCTTAAGCTAGCTTGATCGCGTACAATTCTTTGTCATGAGCTGGCCATTTTTCTTCATGCGGGCCAAGGCGCTTTGGCATAAATAAATAGCGATGGGAAGGTCGTCATAGGCGTTATCAAGTTGGGATAAGACTCACCACAGCAGTAACCAGAAGTATTTGTAGTAACGATGAATGGTTTAGTGTAGTTGGGAAGCTGAAGAACGGGTGCTTTTTGCTAAGCTACCTTGATAGTCGAAAATGCTCGTCAGTGATTTTCAATCCAAGTCCATGGAGTGCGCTGGCGCAAAAGGTCACTCGCAGAACGAATCATGTCGAAGAAGTTCGGAATAAACTTGCGGTTAAAGCTCGCGAAACCAAAGAAACTACTGAGGTCTTTGTTTTTTTGAGGTTCTTTCTATCCTCGATTGCACGCACTTTAGGTTTTTCGACCTGAAGGCCATCCTTGGAAATCGTGCGTCCATGGAAGTTAACGGATTCAATGCCGAAGGCACACTTTGAGGGACGGGCATACAGCTGTTCGGCCTTGAGAACGTCACATATTGCGGTGAGGTGGACCACATGCTCTCCATGGTACGAGAGAATACACATATGTCATCCACAAAGACAACTGCAAAGTCAAACTGGTCGAATAGACGGCGCATCAGCCTGGACCAAATTCCTGGCATGCCTGCCATGCCCATTGGCGCTACGACCCATTCATACACTTCACGATGAGTGCGAAAATGCTGTGTACTTTCTTGCTTTCGGTTCCACCAGCATCTGGTGATACCCTGATGTCAGATCGGTCTTGGTGAAGATCTTGCTTCCATGCATGCGATCGAATAGGTCTTCAATATTGGGAAGTGGAATTTTAGGGACCACAGTTTGCGAGTTTACATAGCGGTAGCCTATGACCCAGCGAATTGGAGTGTCGGGAGTGGCTGTGCGTAACCATTCACCCATTCACTGCGGGATATCATCTGACCATATTCATCCCGTTTGGGAACACCAATGATATTGGATGCCCAGTCACTGTTGGAAAGCTGAATCCAATCCTTTCGCTCGAGATCATTGATAAACTTGTCCGAGGAAGCTTGCTCGACTTGCGACAAACAAAACGGCGGGCTAAAGTGCGGCTTTGCGTCAGAACGCATGGTAAGGTCAAACTCAATTCCTCGCTTGGGTGGCAACGCGTCAGGTAAGGCGTTGGGAAACACCATAGCATACTTGTCCAAAACTTGCTGAATTCGCGGTGGAATCGTCTTCACTTCACTTGAAACGGTGGTGATCTTGATCATCCATGCATTGTCCACACTTGGGGCTGGTTTACTTTCCACGTTGTTTATCGAGAGTAACTTGTGATGTCTCCAGTCAAAGTTGGGATTGTAACGATGAAACCAAGCTTTTCCCAGAATGATATCGAAGTCCTTCTTTCCGAGATCCCATTCAGTAAACGACAGGTCTGGAAATGTCCATCATTCCAATATTGAAGTCCCCGTGACTTCGTTGACTTGTTTGAGCTTGGAAGAATGTCCATCAAATCCTTCAATCAGGGCGGTCGTGTCGCAAAGTCCGGGGCGACACAGAAGATTTGAGGTACCACAGTCGATGAGGACACGGGCCGGTTTGCCATCGATTAGGCCTTTGCGGAGGACGGGATACATGGTGTTGAATTGATGAATATAGTACTGATGCTCTCATCCATTCTTCCGTGATACTTGGGCATGGTAAGGTCTTCTACTTCGACTTCTTGTGTTAGCTCGACATTCCCTGCTTGCAGTGCTTGTACTTGCATGTTCTGTGTCTGAGTGACTGCTTCAATGATGCGTTCTTGGCATTCAAGTTGTTGTAGCAAAGTTTGAAGTATTTGCTCCATGTTCGTCTTGTCCTCTCTATTTTGTTTTATTGTTCGTTTCATTGGTTTTGGGGACGAGAGGGGTAACGCCGGGAGAACACACGAACGAAGGAGATGTGATTCCGAAGGGATGAATTCAGAATTAAGCTAACTACCAGGAGCGAAGCGACCCCGCGTACGTACGAAGTGCGTCGCGGGGGATTGGATGTTGAGTTGGCTTGATGAATTTCATTGATCCTTTCGATTGTTCTTCGTCAGCGGAGTTGAGTGCTATATCACCTACATCAGACTAGACTTGGTTTCACTATAGTGTAGATTCTGGTTCAGAGTGTGGGTGGCAGTAGTCTTATTCCGATTGAGGTCCCATTGGCTGGTAGGTCGGTGGGAAGGGGTTGGATCGGTCACATTATAGGTTTACGAGATTGGCCGGTGTGCTTATAGTAACGGCCGGTCATGCAATCATTTTACGGAAGTGTGCATGACGCGAAGGCCTCAAGGAGCTGGGATTAGTCAATCCCACAAGGGTTTAAAGGTTTTAACCCCCACACCTGTACTACAGAAGCTGAGCAGGTGTGGGGGAAATGTCCGTACGTAAAGTCATACTACCTCATTCCGAGTTTAACTGGAAGAGCCAGTTCAACTGACATGGAAAACTGATGACGACTTGCAATCAATTGTCGTGTTCCAAAACCTGCACCAAT